TCGAAACTTTATCACCACCAAGGACAAGACCAGAACAAGTCATATCAATGGAGAATGTAACATCCTTTGATTCGAACGATTCTCAGCAATTGTCACATGTAAGAAATGACTCGGGCCCTATTAATATAGGATTACCAATAAGCACAAGTATACAACCCCGTCATCGTCTCTCTCCGCCTATCAAGAGGGAGGAAAGAAATAGCGTTCGACAAAGTATTCCGATAATGATGTCACCAAATCTTTTTAAGACGACATCATATAATGCTAATATAGGGACATCATTATCACCTCCGCCTCGTTCGCCAAGATCACCCCCCCTTGTAAGATCCGAAAATTCTTCAACATCATCATCACCAGAAGGTTTACGGTCGATTATTCGGGCTGGACCTCCACCAAATATTCCTTTACCTTTACCTCCTCCTATACCACCTCCTATACCACCACCTAGACCAAAATGTACGATAACTCAAAATACAGTACCTAGATCATCACAAACATCACGAATTTCCAATGATATTTCAAGATCTTCAATACCTCATGATAGAATGAGAACACCAACACCAACGCGTTTTACACATTCACATCGTACAATGATGTATTTACCTCCTTCTCTCCCACCACCGACAATACCATTGCCACCAGTACCGACTGAACCAACGAACAATGGTACGTCAATGACATGCTATTCAACATCCGTTATAACGGAAACGATAACTGAGTTTCCTGACGATGATGACCTAGATCCAGATTACGCAGAAGAGTTAGAGGCATCTCGTCTAGTGATCCTGGCCAATAATGAAAAAATTAGCTAATGCTGATTTTCGACTTAGCATGCCGTTTTTTTTTCAAAGTCGGTTGATCGATTTCTCATGATAATAATTCACTTGTAAGCTTTAATCATTATAAAAAGTGGTTTTTTTTTTTTTTTGTATATATATTGTATGTCGAAATCAAATTTTATCGATTCTAAATCAATTTAAGTTGTAATGAAATTCATCATATATATAGATTTAGAATTAATTCAATCAATAAATTATAACAGGAATTATTAACATTAATACTTATTAAATCTCGTTTTTATTAAGAAATAGCTGAATCTCAAAAATATGGTATCCTTTTTTTTTTTAAACCAAACTTCTTAAATATGACTAAATATAAAATTCTTAAGATTTTAGAAAATGGTATCGAATTAAGTGTAAGAGCGATTGAAAGTTTCGAGTAATCCCCGAATTATATTATCTGTGAAAAGTATCACTTATATAGTTATCGCATATAAAATGCAATCACATTAATCAACGCGAATATAAAACGCAAAAGTGTTAGAAATAATTAGAGTGAAACCTCCCTAAGAACTCATACAGGGAACTCTTACAGAGAGATCCCCAAAATTCCGGGTCGGGATGCATCGGAACCTGGTCGGATGGACCAGCATTGATCAATTTTGCCCAAGATCACTAAGAATTTTACTATTGAAAATAGCTATTATTTTTTTTCTAGTATCCACGGGACGTGGATATTTTGAACTTCGTATTACAGCTATTTTCATAATTTCTGGAACACCT